TGCTGGGATCACAGGCTTATGCCACCAAGCCTGGCATCTCTCATTTTCAATCTTTCATAATTCCTTGATCTTTGAAAGTCTTAACTGGAAGGACCAACTTTTTCATTTTACAGATGAGAAAACTGAAGCTCAGAGAAAAGGTGGGATTTTCCAAAACCCCTATGGCTGGTTGGTGGTGCTACAGCTCTTGGCCTGAGAATTTCTGGAAAGAGCTAGACAGGTGATAGGGGCTCAAGAAGCCTGTTTGAGGAGCACAGACTTTCACTCACAATCCTTCCCTACGCACCTTAACCATAAAGTTTACCCTTCATCCCATATGACCAAATAATAAATCAAAATGGAACCATTAAACCAGCTGCACAATGCAATCATAATGCATTCATAAACTGAAAAATAATCATGCTAATAAAAAATTACCACCTGTGAACTTACTGAATTGAATCAGAGGCTTTTGGATGCATGGGTATATTAAACCCATATCAGAGAAACTAGGCCCCAGAGCTGATCAAACACACTAGACCAATGAATAATGGAACCCCTTCTCCTGAAACACAAAAGGAGGGGCACCTAAGACATGGCACAGGATGCACACCTGCCCATAATTTGTGTGTGTGTGTGTGTGTGTGTAAATTATAATTATACATAACAGTAGGCTTCATTGTGTTAAATTCATACCTCCACATGGCATAATTTGGTCTATTTCCTTCCCCCTTACCCCCCTTTCTCTTTCCTCTCCCTCTCTCCTCTCCCCCATCTCCTTTCCCCATTGTCTTACCAGACCCCTTATCATGATGGTGTTGCTGGGGCTTCAGCTTAGCTCCATCTCCCTGCTTGATGTGGCCCACTTCAAAACTACCTGCCGTCTGAACCCTCCACATGAACAGCTCTACACCCTGAGCAACTCCACACCTTAAATTTCTACAGCTGGGATCCTACCTCATCGGACTACCTGCAGTGACTCTAGCATCTGTACCCACCCTCTGCCTTTGCTTTCAATTCTGCCTCTTTAAACCCTGTGGCCACTGTATTTAGGGTCAGATATTTTTACTTTTTCCTCGGGCTCCTATATAGCTCAGCATAGCACTTTTGAATACTGTCTTTATTTAAAATTTTGATTATTTCATTTATCATTGACCTTTTTTACTATTGCATTAAAATATTGTCTTAACTACTGATTTTTTTTTTTGGTGGCCCCTTAAATTTTGGGCCTGAGGTAAATGGCTCATCCTGGCAATATCAGAGGAAAAACATTTCAAGGAAGTGTCCACCAAGTTCAACAACTTTTATTTGAGGTGAGAATAAGTTCAATATGTTCAAGGAAGGTGTTGTGAGTGAGCTTTGTCATAATATAAACAGGACATCTTTGTGTCTTTCCATATGTCATAATTCATTTAATAATAATAGATTCAAAAGCTACATCTATTTCATCAGTTTAAATTCACTGGTTATTCATGATTCATTTGGTGGTCATGAGCAGGATGATCACAACTTCTTTTATTCATTTAATTTTTAATTAATTACAGGGAATTGAATCTAAGGGCACCTAACTACTAAGCTATATTCCCAGCACTTTTTAACTTTTATTTTGAGACTGGGTCTCACTAAATTGCTGATGCTGACTTTGAACTTGAAATCTTCCTGCCTCAGCCTCCCAAGCCACTGGGATTATAGGCTGGCGCCACCATGCCCAGCTTCCATTTAATTTTAATTACTAACACCTCAAGTCACACATCACATTTCACACAATGATATGTGTGTGTATACATAAATATATATCATTGATTGATATATATCAGACTGATATACACCAGATTGATGTATATATTATAAATATAAATATACTTATATACACACAAAAATGTGTGCCCCTATACACATTTTATGTGTCTTTTTAAAGGGTTAAATTTTTCCAGAACTTTAAACTCGTTGAAAAGTTTTAAAGTGGATTATTAAAACTCACATTATTTTAAGTGTAAATATTTTATTTGTATTTGTAGGAGGAGTCCCCAAGACTACCTTCAGGTTTGAGGATTTGCTAGAAAGACCCAAAGAAATTAGAAAAGCTGTTATAATCATAGTTCTTGTTTATTACATTGAAAGGATATGAATCACAGTCAGCAAAGGAAAACGGAGCTCACGGCAGAGTCCAGGCAAGAAGATTCCATTGTCCTTCACCGATGGGGGTCTCAGGGAGGGTACTCATTTCCCCCAGCAATGATGTGTGACAACATATATGAAGTATTAGCAAGCAGGGAAGCTCACCCATGCCTCTAGGTTTTTCAGTTGATGGTCCCCACTTCTCGCACACCCAGAAATGAAAATGATAGAGTGTGGCCCAGGGGCCCAGGTGAACAAAAAAACAGACACCAAAAATCACCATGTTGGCATAAACTATCTGGAGTAGCCTGAGGCCCTAGGAATTCAAAGACAATCTCATCAGTCAGGGTTCAGGGGTTCATAGGTCATCTCCCAGAAGCCTCCAGGGCCAATCCTTTCTTTGAAATGTGCAGGGTTTGAACACCTCAAGCCAGCTGAGTTAACCCTTCCTCTATAACTCCAAAAACTAAAACCACATAATTTTACTGGCTTTAATGAAGCAAGCTCATCAATAACATTTTCAAAATCCAACAGGGGATGGAGCTTGGTAGCAGAGTACTCACCTAGAAGGTATAAGGTCCTGGGTTCCCCAGTCCTGCTGGGGGAATTTTTTATTTATTTATTTATTTTTCAAAACCTACTTCTGGAAAAAAAGTTCACCACTAAACAAATACATTCAGAGATATTGTGGGGACATAGTTTTCCTTCAGCCTCAGGGTCTAACGTGGGTAGCGTATACAGCATGGATACACTGGACAAAGGGATGCTTTATATCCTAAGTGGGACAGAACAGGACTGCATGAGATTTCACTATGCTAATCAGAACAATGTGCAATCTAAAGCCTCAAGTCACACATCACATTTATTTATTTCTGAAATTATCTACTTAGTGTTTTTGTACCATAGTTGACTATAGGTGACTGAATCCTCAGAGAGTAAAAATGCAGATAAGGTGGGGATTATTATATTTCATTCCTCATGGATTTTTTGCATTAATTTTGATTTATTAAAATATTATTAATCTTTTTTATTTTTTATTTATATATGATAATGGAATGTATTACAGTTCTTATTACATATATAGAGCACAAGTTTTCATATCTCTGGTTGTATACAAAGTATATTCACACCAATTCGTGTCTTCATACATGTACTTCGGATAAAAACGATCATCACGTTCCACCATCATTTCTAACCCCATGCTCCCTCCCTTCCCCTCCCACCCCTCTGCCCTATCTAGAGTTCATCTATTCCTCCCATGCTCCCTCTCCCTACTCCACTATGAATCAGCGTCCTTACATCCAAGAAAACATTTGACATTTGGTTATTTGAGATTGCCTAACTTCACTTAGCATTATCTTCTCTAATTCCATCCATTATGATTAATCTTGATGTGGTTTTCTGGTGCCCCTTAAATTTTGCACTGGGGCTAGTGCCCCACTAACCTTATCCTAATCCTGACCTCATGGCCACCAAAGCTATTGGTTCTCATGCTTCTAGCCTAATCAAATAGCACCTATTTGGAAAGACCTGCTCCAATCACTTTGTTACTGCATCTTCTCCATTCCTCTTTCATTATATCCCTTCACGTTCTGAAATGATTTTGCTTATTTCATCTTACTTCCTGTCTACCCCTTCTACCAATTAAAACATAAGCTCTGTGAAAGCAGAGATGGTTTCTGTTCACTGTTGAACTCCCAGACCATGGAAAAGTGTCTTTCTCAAGGTCGATGCTCCAAAAATGTTAGTTGCATGGACCCACTGCCTGGAGTAAGAAACTCCTACATGATCGTGTACATGAAGATCAATCCCAGAGGACAGGTTTCTGCCCCTGTGGTTTATTACCAGTCTGCCCTCTTTGGCTGAGGGTCTGCAGGCTGAAAGAAACGAGTCCAGAAAAAAGAAAAGAATAAAGCCTCCTCCTTTTTTTGATTCTGCCATTTAACAAGAGCTATTTACAGAATGTTGTCAGGTTGCACTTGTGTCAAAGTGTAGCAACTACATTGTACATTCAAATTTTGCACAATTCAAATTAGCATTTAAGTGCCCCAGCTTTGCAGAAACACCATTTATCACTGCTTGGAGCTTATGAGGAGTGACTCCATCTGTCCTGGGAAAACAATGCCTTCATTTTCAGTGGTGATTTGTATTTTCAGGTGTCCATTATTAACATATGAACACCCATAAAAGGAAAACGCATTAAGAAGTTATCAGACAAGGTATCACACAATGCTGTTTTCATTTCAATGCCTGAGATTCTCATTACAGCATCTCCTTCTTGTACTTGCCTGGTTATAAGTTGTCATTCTCTCCAGACTGAGTGTTCATCAGATGTGATCCTTGCCCTTGTCCTATAGTCTCCTGCCCTTAGCCCCAGAATGCTTCATAACTCCAAACATCTTGTTGGCCACTGCTATGGTTTGGTTATGGTTTGAGTGTGCTCCTCCAAAGGTTCATGTGCTGGAAACCTGGTCCCCTGTATGGTGGTATTGAGGTGGTCTTAGTGGTGGGAGCTAGTAGAAGGCCTAGTTTTATAAGGGCACTACCCTTGACTGATGCTTGCTCTGGAAGTGAATTATAAAACAAGGCCACTCTGTGTGCTTGGTCTCTTCTGCACATTGGCCAGTTCTCTTTCTGTTTCTCTGCCATGTTGTAACACAACCAAGGAGGCCCTCACCAGAGCCCATGGAGATGGAGCTGCCCAATTGTGGACTTTGAGCCTCCCCACTTGTGAGTTAAATAAACCTCTTTTCTTCATAAAATACCTAGCAATAGGTATTCTGTTATAGTGACACAAAACAGACTAATACAACCAGCATGTCTTCATCCTGTTCCCTAGCATTTACAAATGCTCTGAGGGCCTCTCCATTTCAAACCAAAATGGTCCTGGCTCCTCCTCTGCCTCTTCCTCTGCTCTGGCCCCATGGTCTCCTTACTGTCTCAATGGTGAGATGTCCTTCACTCCTCAGACATCCCAGAGTGAGTAAGGCCTTCACTACCTATCTCATTTAAAATCATTTTCCTTATGCTGTTATCACCGTCTAGCATATTATATATTTGGTTGTTATTTTCCCTTCCTTTTCAAAAATTTAAGCTGTTTTATTCTCAAAATTTTAGGGACTTCTCCACTCAAGTCTAGTTCTTCCCAGGATGAGGGGTAATGTGGGTGACATATTGGTCTTCAAGGGCTGCCATAATAAAAACCTCAAACCAGGTTGCTTAAAACCACAGAAATTTGTTCTTGCAGTTCCAGAGGCCAGAAGCCCCAACATTAAGGCATTAGTGTCAGGGCTCTGCTCCCTTGGGAACATGCAGAAGGCATCCTTTCTTGCCTCTGGCAGCTTCTGGTATTCTGCCAGCAATGCCTAGGGGTCCTTGGCTTGAAGATGCAGCACTTCAGTGTCTGCCTGTCACCATATGTCTTGTGTCTCTTCTCTTTTATTGGATCTCTCATATTGGATCCAGGGATCTCCCTAATCGTTATGGCCTCATCTAACTATTTAGATCTGCAATGATCCTATTTCCAAATTAGGTCATATTCTGAGGTACTGGGGGTTAGGACTTCAACTCTTCTTTTGGGGGAGACAGTTCAACCCACAATGGTAACAGCTGAGTGTGCTCTTGTCCAGTGGCAGTTCTGTTGAACTAAGACCAAAACATGGGGCTGGAGCTGCTATCCTGTTATGGTTTGGATCTGGAATGGCTCCCAAAGGCTCAAGTGTTGAAGGCTTAGTCCGAAGGGCAGCAATGTGCAGAGGTGTGGCTTTTGGGTAACAGTTGAATCATGAGGATTCTAACCTCATCAGTGGACTAATCCATTGACAGATTCATAATGTCATAGCATTTGGGGGGAAGTGATGGCAACATAGGAGGTGGGAATAGGTCACGGGGTTATGCCCTTGGGGACTGTATCTTGTCCCCAGATCCTTCCTTTCTGACCCACTCTCTGCCTTCTGGTTGTCCTGAGGTGAGCATTTCTGCTCCACTATGTCCTCTCCACCATGATGCTCTGCTTCATCACAGGTTCATAGCAATGGAGCCAGCCAACCATGGACCAAGACCTTGACACTGGGCCAAAAGAAAGCTTTCCTCCTTTTACTCATTCTTCTTAAGTATTTTGTCACAGCAACAACAACAACAAAAAGCTAACACATATCCTCTATAAGACCAAGTCTTTCTTCCTTCACTTAGTTACTCAGTAGACTTTTATAGAGCCAGGCATTTGCTCAGCCTGGAGACAAAAAGTGACAGGCAGTTCCCTCCCCCTGCCCCCACTCCAGTGCGAGAGCTGTCACAGTGAAGGTCTGTTCCTTCCCTCCAGAACCGCCTATAAGTAGCCACCTGCTGCTGTCTCCAATAATGTTCGCGTCCCCAGCCTTAGCAGCCTTGGAGTGTGGGGAGGCATATCATTTGGGATTTCATTTTTGTATTCTAGCTAAAAGTTTATGGTTTACTTCTATTTCAACATGTGCTACTCCATAAATTAGGCTGTAAAATTCTCACACACATAAGTTGTCTTTGGATTCAAGTGTTGGCCATTCCTGCTTAAATTGGTCTTGTTTGGGGTTTGTTTTGTATTGCTTTGCTTTGGCTTTGGTAATGGCGATTGAACCCAGGGGCACTCTTCCACTGAGCTACAGCCTCAACCTTTTTTCTGTTTTTTAAATTTTGAGACAGAGTCTCTTCAGGTTGCCCAGGGTGGGCCACAAATTTGCAATATCCTTGCCTTGGCCTTGAGCACAGGATTACAGACATGCACCACCATGCCCGGTTCAAGCTGGTCTTAACATTGACTCCACAAGTGGTCAGAGAAGTCATTGTCCAGCTCCTGGCTCCCTATTCCCCAAACCTCAGGAAACACCCACAGGCAAACCCAGCCCCAGGAGCAGTCATGAGTTTTAAGACCAAAGTCAACACGTGGTTCATCTCAGCCTGGCTGCTCATCTTCCCTTGAGCTTCTCCCTAATCCCAGTCATTGTTATTCCTTACAGCCAGGTCTGGGCCAGTCTGGTAACAGTAACCAAACCTTCTCTTCCCCCAGTGCCTTCATCTCTACCCAATTCCCTAGGGCCTGTCTAGCTTCCTGGAACCAGGCTTGGCCTTCTCATCTCACTCTGACTTTGGCCTGTGATCTCATCTCTAAGCCCAGGATTGGTGACTTCATCCCAGGAGTTTCAGTAGCTTCTCTGTGATGCCTGAACTTCCTTATTTCTTCCTTCAGATTCCTGATGCTGTGATTTGAGCACCTTTCAGGAGGCCTGAGAACCGCTGTTGGAAACTTCCCACTTCCTGCTCTCCCCTAGGGGACCTGCTTAGCTATGGGTCAGGGGTTCTTTATCACTGTCCAGTGACCCAATAAGACAGCACTGTGAACTGTCCCTATTGCACCACAAAAACTTGACTTAAATATAAAACTTATTTGTTTTATATTTGAAGACACACACTTTTGGGGTTATTTTCCCACAGTACTGGAAATGGAACGTAGGGCCTTGTGCATGCTAGGCAAGTGCTCTACCACTGAGCTACATCCCCAGCCCTAGATACAAATTTTTATGAACAGGATGCTGCTTGCTTTGACTGGGAGGTAAGAAATGGTATGATGTGTTTTCTAGAACATTCCAAGCTGGGAATGTTGATGGGGCAATCAAGCACTCTCCATATATCCTGGAGATCAAATAAAAGAGTGTGCTAGACTAGGAACTTACTTTTTTTTTCAGTACTGGGGATTGAACCTAGGGGCACTCTACCACTGAGGTACACCCCTAGCCCTTTTCTTTTCTTTTTTAAATATAATTTTTTAGTTGTAGGTGGACACAATACCTTTATTTTTATGTGGTGCTGAGGATCGAACCCAGTGCCTCATGCATGCTAGACGAGTGCTCCACCACTAAGCCACAACCCCAGCCCCCTTTTCTTATCTTTTATATTTTTAATCTTTTCTTATTTTGAGACAGGGTCTCTCAAAGTTGTTCAGACTGGCCTTGAACTTGTGCTCCCCCTCCCTCATCCTCCTAGTAGCTAGGATTACAGGTGTGTACCAACTATCTCAGAAACTCCAACAGATACCTTGAGACATTAAGATTCCATAGCAACAGTCAAGCTATAATCACTACTGACACATCTGCAGACATTTTGGGTCTTTTAATCCCTTCAGATGTATCAAACAAATATTCTGACATTTAAAGTATAACTTGAAACCTACATAAAAATTTTTAAAGAAACACAACGGGGTCAAGTTTTGTCTTCCCGTAACCAATCCCTTAGCCGTCAATCGGCTCCTATTCTTCTGAAGTTAATTAGCAATATGGACTAGAATATTGCTGGGAGCTTGGCAATAACTGTCAGAAATTGAAATGCATTTTCTCTTTTACTCAGAAATTCTACTTTAGGAGCTTACTTTCCTGGTATGCTCATAAGTATATATAGACAAATGGTGAGCTCATTTCCAGCAGCATAATTTGAAATAACAAAAACGTGGATACCCCCTATATGTCCATCAATAGGAATCACCTGGTAGGACAAAGCCCTAGGACATTGGTCCATGGAGGTATTGGCCAAACCACCAGAGATTAATTTGACAGAACATTTTCTGGTTGGGAGGTGTTATTGTACACATGACCAAGACAGGCTAGTTTGGGGTCAGAAAAGAGAGGGAAAACTGGCTTTGGGGGGGAAAAAAAGAGGGCATGAGAGATATCTGTCTAGGGGAGGGGGTTGGGAGAGAGGACACTGCCCACTGGCAGCTGAGAATGGCTTTAGGGTACCACACTGGGAAGAGAGATCAATGTCATGAAGGTTGGGTCATGAAGGATTCTGAAGGCGATCCTCCCAACATTATAACATGGGTGGCTTTGAGGACCCCTCTTGCAGAAGAGGACATTTCTCTGCAAAGTAAAGGAGAAGCCTCCCATCTCGCCAACAGCACAGATGCCTGTATTTAGCACACACTGTTGGGAAGTCCCGTCCAAGCTGACAAACTTCCTCCTTGCCTTTTTACTGCACATAAATTTCTCCAGTTCTTGGCCCCAGACTTGAAATTTGATTTGCAGCTTTTACCATGAAATGATTTGTTGTCTCGTGTAATTGCCCTAAATCCTCATCTGGCTCTATTTTACCTCCCTGGTTTTGTTTTCTGCAAATCACACTGAGCTGCCTCAGGCCTCTCACACCTCTTTGTCAGGCGGCAGACCCTGGCTGTTTCCACGGGCAGCAGCAAGACTGTACTTTGGCCCTTTGAGAAAAGAGGCCAGTGACCACAGTTGCTTCCAGAGAGAGAGATGCCCTGGAAACAAGGGTCCTGAAGTAGGAAGCAGAAGGTCTCCTCTTCCAAGGAGAGGTGTATGTCTGCATCCACATCAGGGCGCCATCAGCGGTGTGCTAGTTCACACAGGCGCGCACATTTTCCAACCAGTCAGCCACAGACAGACATTGCAAGGAACCAGTGATACTTCTCCCCACCTTGCTTGGACTGTAGCTATATAGGTAAAGTTAAAGAACTGAATCCATTACCCCAGGACTTTCCTTCCTTCCTTTCTCTACCTCCTCCTCTTCCATGTGGATTAGAATCATTAAGCATTTATTGAAAGCCTTCCATGGACACGGTATTCGTTTTTAATAGCTACATTTTAACATGAGGATTCCTAATAAAATGGGCTTTTTAATTTTCTCTTTTGCTTTTTTTTTTATTAAACTCTTTATTCTTTGCAAGTGATTTAAGATAAATCATGTAGTTCAAAACTCTACAGCCTAAAAATTAAAGTTTCCAAAAACATTGCCTCAAAGTGTATCATAGAAAACCCCACTGAATTTGGAGCCAAATGACCTATGTTCAAATCCTGACCTTCCTTGCTGCCTGACATGAGGCCAGGGACTTAATCACTCTGGCCCTGGATTTCTTCCTTTGTAAATTTTGTCTAAAAATTCCTGCCTACAAGAGAATGGATAAATTGCAGTACATTCATGCCATGAAATACTATCCAGCACTAACAAAGAACTACCGGCATATGCAGCAATAAAGATGAATCATACAGACACCATGAAATCGGACACAGAAGACTGTGCTCTGTATGATTCTATTTATAAGAAGCTCAAGAGCTGGCAAACTAGTGGATGGCATTAGAAACTAGTGAATAGTGGTTATTACTGAGGGGGGCAGTGACTGGAAGGGCAATGGAGAAACTTCTGGGATAAGGGAAGGTTCCATATCCTGATCTGGAGCAAACAAACTCCACTGAGCCGTATCTGTTATACATTTTGCTCTGTATCTGCCATACCTCAATTAAAACAATAAATTCATCCCTTTAAAGTACCCACTTCTATGGGAAAGACCAAGTAAGAATAAAAATGCTCGTAAACACCAAGCACATGTGAACTTTCACTAAGTAATAATAATGGCACTAGAAAGATGTTGGATGTTCAAGCAAAAAAGCCATTTATTTATTTATTTATTTGTCTATATCTATCTATTTATTTATTTATTTTAGAACTAACTTAACTAGGAATAGAAACTGAGCACTTCTGGGAAGTTACACATTTCCCTGGAAGGATAGGACATGTCTTATGGTCTTTAATATTTCTGAAGTTGTTAGATATTTAGCATTTGTTCAGTGTTAACCCTGTGCTGTATCATCTAATTGATTTTCCTTACAGTCAAGGTTGGTTTCTCCCTGAGGTCCTCAGGTCTTTGATCTTTCAATTGGCCTCGGATTGACTGTGGCAGTCACCGGGACACTCAGGTTCCAACCCTCTTCGCTGCTAAGGCTCTGTGGCCCCCTGTTGCCTGTGCACCATCTTTTTCCTGGAGTCTGTAGTCCATGTGGTTACCTCTGGTAGTGTACACAACAAGCAAGTCTGTCCCCAGTGAGAAGGAAGATAAAGGAAATCTGGTCATGAATTGTGTCTCAGATGGGGCATGCAGCTACTGAAATTTTATAAGTTACTTTTCTTTTCACCTGACAGGGCTTAGGAGATTTTCATTTTTGTCATTTGTAAAATGGGTCTTTCTGGCCTTGGGTGTTCTAATCTCTTGCTCCCAAAACAGATTTTCCAACTGAGCCAAGTCCACTTCTTACTATGACCTGCCTGCAACAGACAACTCCAGATGTTCTCTTTCTTCTCTAGGTCACCGACAGTCCCCACAACCTATAAATCTAGCTCAAGTTGTACCTTTTTCTAGAGCCTTCCTCGAGGACCCCAGTCATCATGAACCCCTCCCTTTTCTAAATCGCTCAAGCAACAGCAGTGGGCTCCAAAGTGTCATTTGGATAGTACCACTGTCCTCCAAGTCATCACAAGGTCCTCCTCCAATCACTCTAAATGAACATAAAATCTAAACAAAACGATGCTCTGCTATTCAAATGCAGCTTCAGGACACACTTTCCAACCTTCACCTCCCTTAAACCCAGGCTACCATAAATTCAGGAGCCTTTTAGCCCAGTAGTAAGTCTGTTCCATGCATTCAACTCTATTAATCATAATATTTGGTTATATATTGCTTTATATTGCTCTCAATTATTTCTTGTCTTTAGGTCTGAATCTACAGTGAGTCTGTAAATTCCTCAAGGTTTGAAATTGTGTCATTTTCATTTTCTATGCTCCATGGAGTCTAGCAGAAAACTCAGCACAACCAAGATAGCACTACTTACTAAAAACTTTAGAAATGCTCTGCTGAAAAAATACTATGCTTTGTAAATTTAGCAAATTAATTTTATTCTTATCATTTGTGGTAGTAAGACTGCTAACCATAATGAATAATTGTTGGAATTCTTCTTATAATTGCATTTGTTATTGATTTCTCCAGCTGTTAAGAGCGATTTATAAAAAGCCAATTGGACTTCAAACTGCACCGTGGTTGTTTCCCAAGGTAATATTGTACTTTTTCATTACATCTTAGAAAATTGTACTCAGCACATTTTGTAGGCTGATGAAATAAACTGCTCAAAAATAATGCTGGCATCTGTAGCATGCATATCAATAAACATGTTTTATTTCCAATCACCACCTCCCCAGTTTAAGATTAATTTATTTCCCATTCTGTTCAAATAGCAACTGCAATTTATTTACAAACTGGAAAATTAGTGTTTCCTATGGTCTTCCTCAAGTTGACAGGTGTGGGGTTGGGATTAGCCTCCTCAATAGCACAGGTACACAATTCTTTATTCAAATCCCTTTAGGCTGGATGAATTTTAGAATTCTGAATTTTCTGGATTTTTGAAAGGTAGTATGATGCCTAAGCCATAGATCTTATAATATAGATCCCAGTCAGAGCCGGGGTAGTGCCCAGTAATAAAAAATATTAGTAGTTCTATTGTAAAATCTAGTGAGGTAATCTTAAGTAGCTTTACTCCAATTCAGGTCAAGCTTTGCTGCTAAATGAGGTTTGGCTTTGAACTTTCTGGTTTTAGAGCTTTTTGGATTTGGCAGTTGTCCCCAGAGAGGCCTGTTGGTCCTGGGATTATCTTCTACACTGAACATGGAGTAGAGCTGGCTACGGGGTCCCACTAGGATGACTCATCTTTCATTCATTTGAGAAATACACTTCAATGCAGTATGCGTTCATCATGGTGTTCCTGTGTGCTGGGTGCTGTTCTAGGTGCCGTGACAAATTTAAAGGAGAGCAAGATAGGCCTCTACATTAGTCAGCTCAGGCTGGCATAACAAAACACCAGAACTAGGTGACTTAAAAGTCATTAATTTTCTCACAGTTCTGGAGGCCAGAAGTCCACGATCAAGGTGACAGTAAGGTTGGTTTCTGGGAAGATCTCTCCTCTTGACTCCTGTGCCTTCCTGCTGTCTTCACAGGGCCTCTTCATGCATGCAGACAGCAAGCAAGCTCGGAGGTCACTCCCTCTTCAAGGATGCCAGCCCTACCAACCTCGTTAAGCCTCATTTACCTCCCTAAAGGCCCCAACTCCAACACAGCTACATTGAGAGTTAGGGCTTCAACATGTGAATTTCAGGAAGATAACTTGGTCCACAGCTGGCTCTTTTCACCAAATAGCTCCTTGTCTAGCAGTGGACATGGGCTGACAGTAACTGGCCTAGCAGAAAAGGCAAAGAGCGAGGTGTGAGCAGGGCAGCCAGGGGCATCAGGATGACTGGGGAGACTATCAGTCCATGACACTTGAATTCAGCTCCTAGTAAAGGAAAGGCCAGAACTCCTCAGGGAGGCTGTGAGAGGGAGGGCGCTGTAGGGATCCAGCTTGATGTGATAGTAGCCATTTTGGTGAAAGCCTTCATCTTCCCCCCCAGATGACCCTGGCATATGTTCCAGACCTAATAGGATAAATAATGCTGTTCAGATAATCAGCCCAGCATTTGATGCACGCCACTGACACCCAGTCTGTCTCTTAATTGAGGCTTGACATGTTGTGAGCTTTTGAGAAAGGCCAGGTTACATTTTATTTGCGTAAAGATCACTTTTGTCTAGCTTAGCACATAAGCCTCTTTCTCCTGTCTTAGGGTACAGGGGTCCTCTGGACTTGCTGCTGCCCAAGACATACTTCTGTCTGTGAGTCCCTAATAAATTGCACTTTGAGCAGTCCTGGATTTGGACCCTTCTTTCTTTGGTCTCATGCCACCTTCTATCTATGGTGGCTGGTTCTCATACATTAGGTTTTTCCCAAACAGGCAGAGTGTCCTCAAGTAACACTGAATAAAAACATAGCCGTTGGAAAATGAGTGCAGAGGTGAAGGACCTGTCTAGGGACCAGTCAGTGTCATCTCGGCTGGATACCATGCTCAGAGAGTATCATAAATGAGCTAAAGTTGGCCTCTGTCTATTGGCCCTGAGATTGTTATTTTTTCACTGCCATTTGAAACCCATTAGCTCACAAACCTGCTAGCACCAAACTCAACTGTTTACACATTCAATTATTTTAAAAGCAATCCAAACAGGCAAATTTTGAGCCATTAGAGACCACCTGCTTTGCATACCTATAGGGCCTCACCAAATAGCTGTTACCTGTGGTTAAACTAGGGTTTTGCAGTTATAAAGCCCCAAGCTGCTGTGGTCCTTCTAATCCAGAGACTCCCCACAGCAATGCTGAGTGACATCACCTAGGCATGTAATAGCTCTCTCTAATCCCCATGTCCCCAGGAGCTCCCAGTCCCTCTCCCCTTCGCTTGTAAGCCTCTGGGTCAGCTCCTGCTGTGAGGGACTTCCCCTCTCAAGCCATCTGCCCAGAGGAAGCCCAATTGAACTTGTATGTGCTACTGCCACCTTGTGGTCATGTCTTTTTCCTTGATCAGTCCCAAGTCCTTCAACTCCTACAAAGAGGCAAAAGAGGGAACTTTTTACTCAAAGACCAGAGATGCCAAGCGGCAAACTCTCTAACCCTTCGACCCATGCTCTCCACATCAACCTCGCTACCTGTTAGCTTGCTTTCACCTGAAAGCCCTAGAACTGATTTCGGCATCTAGAGGTATAACGAAAGCCGACATAGTCAACAGCCTTGGGTGAACAGTAAAGATGGAAATCTTTAAAATTCCTCCTACCCCTGTATGGAAAGAGGATGTAAAGTCTTCTCACTGCCTTCAGGAGCCTTTCACCCCCTCTATCCAATGTTAGTGGCTACCAGAAACTAACAGACATTTCCTGTCCTGGGAGCTGCAGAAACTTCCAACCGTAATCGAGTAGTAATGAAATCTATGGCAATGCTCCCTCTAGTGGTATGAAAGGATTTCAGGAAGAATGTTCTGTTTGAACTGGAAGAGAGGATTCTGTCTGGACTGGGAACATTTGTATCATGGGATCTTGAGGAGGATGGAAAAACGGATTTCCCCAACATATCAGTCTTAGACTGACATTGATTTGCCCAATTAAATCCTTTTTGACATACAGGGCACTTCTGATTGGGGCATTTTTGAGGCCCCTTTTTAACTTTACAGTCCTTTTGAAGATGACCAGGTCTTACAATTATAATATAATTTATCAGGGGTTTTTAAAACAGTGGGAAGCAAAGCGGTTTTATGAGTTTCAGTTTCTACATTCTGACATGCCTTTATCTTTATCTTACAAAGTATTATCTATGATAAATAGACTTCATTACTTCTTTGCAATCTTGATTGGCATTTTCGTATGTGAATTGTTTGGTTAGAATATCACTCTATTGCTTTAGTTAAGTGATCAACAAAATTTATGAAAGGCTTCCAGAAAGCTTGTCTGATTATTGCAAATGATTTAGAGGGATCTCAGGTGTCAGGAATCTGATGCCTTGCTTTACATACAAGTGTTCTAATATGAGCAATGGCAATGGCAGGTAATTGAGGTTGTTGCAGAATGGCCCATTGTCCAACTCCGAAAAGGTCATCATAATCAATGTTTACGTTTCTTTGTACATTATCTTCAGCCTGGACATGGACCAAGTCAAAGTACTCTTGTAAAAGCACAGTATTTTGAGCAGAAGTAACTATCTTAACTAATGCTTTCCAATCACTAGGAGCCAAGGCATATCCTAATCCCAGTCCCTATTTCATATTGAGGGTAAAATTACTACTCACACCACTTTCCAAAACAGTACATTGCAATTCTTTAGATGCAGCAAAAGGTAATTGTTCATGCTCTGGCTGGCCAGCGGGATTTAGCCTAGTACAACAAACAGCTAAGATATGAGTTTCTCCTTTCTCTGCTGCTTGCCATAAACATTAAGCCAAATGAGATCTAACCAGTGGTGGGGTTGGTATATAGAGCAGTGGCTGAGAAAACTCCTCTATAGAGGACACTTACTGGAGGAGACCTTAGAAATAGCATCGCAACAAAGATACCAAGCATGGAACACAAGTATGGGAGCTTGTGGCTCCTCATGAAGCTTCTTACCTATATCTTCCAATTCTTTGAATGTAAAAAAACCACTTTTTCTGGGTACCAGGGGAAGCAAAAATCTACCTCTGCCATCAAAGCGGTGAGGTCAGCATTACTTACAGTATATCCAGTCTTGCAATGTAAATAGGAGAGCTCAGCCCAATGATGACATTGAGTGTCAGGGAATTTCCAATAACTTACCAATAGGGATCAGTACAAGATGAGAGATGCGCATCACAGCCTGCTCCAGGCGGTAAGCTACTCTCTTCCCCTGTCAACATGTTCAGAAGGGTCCCTGTTTCGGGAGACAGAAGCAAGATGCAGAGGCAAAAATGACTGCTTGTCTAAGCTGCCGTCTTTATTTATTATCATGAGGTTACATTGATGATAACTGATAGCATTAGTACATTACTGTTCGTTATATCGTAAGTCAGGGTACATTAGGTCATAGCGTAAGATGTTCTTGCCTATAATTAGATATGTGTACTGGCTAAGCTTGTGTTAGTTATCTTAATAGTTCCTGGGGAAAATTGCAGAAAGTTCCAGGTGCAGAAGCCAAGATGCCTATTATTCCCCAGGACTTTGTCTGCCAGAGAAAACTCATTGTCCTGTACTTTCCCACAATCAGAACCCCTACATCTTAGCTTTGGGTTGGTGGAGAATGGAAATCTGCTAAACTTAGGGATACCTTCCAAGAGCTTTACCTAATTGGACAATGTTAGGTCAGATACAGAGGCTGAAAGTAAATAGCTATTTAAAGGACTAAATCTTGACCTGTAACGTTCCCCCTCCACCATCAGATGCTCTAGTCTGCAGCATCAGTCTGTAGGATCTTTAATACAAATGCAGCTTCTGCAGAGAACTCAGTCCACAAAGAGACTGGGTATTTCTTTGGGTTCTTTTACTTCATTTGTTAAATAAATAAACACTGAATAAAATACTTAAGGGGGTTTTAAGCTCTAAAGAGCTATAATTCATTGATTTTTGCCCATATTACTTGTCATGGAGAGGTGGTAGAACAGAGTGGCTAAAACCATAGACTCTGTTCAAACTAGGTTCAAATCTAGCTCCAACAATTATGAAATGAGATGTTTTCCAACACCAAAAACCAATTCCATGATTCCCTGTAAACCAACTGGGTGTTCAAGTATTCAACCCAATTCTGAAATGAACTACACAAAGTTAGCGGAGTCCCCACAGGATAAGGGCTCAATCCCACAGAATTGCTTCCCTTCAGAGGCCAGTTTCAAGTCCTCCTACTGACCAGCTCTAAATGGGAGGGTTCATGACCTCCTCCTCGGATTCAATAGTTTGATAGAATGCTCAGAGAACTCAGGCACATGCTTAACTTACATAAATTGGTTTATTTTGAAGGTACCATACAACTCAGAAATAGACAAATGGAAGAGATGCATAGGGTGACATATGGGGTTGGGGGGTAGCAACACGTACCTTCCATGCCTTCTTGGGGCACTCCTTCCTCCAGGTACCAAGCTGGAAGTTCTATGAATGTTATTATTCAAGAGTTTTGTTTGTTGGTTTGTTTTCAATCCTGGGAACTGAATCCATGACCCAACAAACACTAGACAACCACTCCTCCACTGAGCTACATCCTCAAACCTTTTTACTTTATTTTGAGACAGGGTCTTGCTAAGTTGTGGAGGCTGGCCTTGAATTGACAATCATCCTACCTCAGACTCCCAAGTAGCTGGAATTACAGGTGTAATCCTTGGTTCATTCCAGAGATTTTATAGAGCTCAGTCTCCAGTCCTCTCCCTTTCTTTCTGTCCTTATCAGGAAGTCAGTGGGTGGAGCTAAAAGTTGCAGTCCTCTGTTCACTTGATCTCTATGCTGACCAGCACAATCCTACTTCAGGTCTAAGTCCTTTATTCCAGGTACTACAGAGAGATCCTTCTTCAACCTCTTCTTGTCAGCTCACAGCAAAAGCAAAAACAGCTTTGAGGAAAGCTGAAATTTCTATTAAAAATGTTCAGCTTACTAGAATTACCCCGCAAGAATCTATACATTTATTGATATTTCCAACTACTTATGCTCCTACAGGGAGCATATGGCAAACATTGGGAGTTATTAAGTGGATTTCTTTAGCCCACTCTCCTCAAAAGTCATTAACTCCTTTTCATGATTCTGTTGCTCAATTAATGATAAAGGGCAGAACAAGAGTTTAACAGCTAGTTGGATCAGAACCTAATATTATAATCATTCCATTTTCTGCTCGACAGAATGATTGGCTCTTTAAAACTTCTAATTTTTGGCAAGTAACTTTTGCTAATTTTCTTGGTCAGGTAGAGAGTCATTATCCTCCTGATAAAATTATTCAATTCGCATTGGTAATGCTATTCATATTTCCAAGGACTGTATGTGCACAACCAATAAATGATGCACTGACAGTATTCACTGATGGCTCAAGCTCAGGTAAAGCAGGTTTTTATAGTCATGCTTGTACAAAGGTAATACCAACCTCATATGCTTCTGCCCAATGAGCAGAACTACAGGCTTTCATTTGTGCTTTAAGTCATTTTGCAAATGAGCCCATTATTCTGACAGCTTATATGCAGTTGGAGTTACAAAAAATGTTGAAACTTCAATTATTGGGTATACATCATCACAAGAGTTATTCAATTTGTTTCATACCCTACAAAGGATGGAGAAAATGCAAAAGCACCCATATTTTATTGGTCACATTCAGGCTCACACTAATCTTCCAGGGCCTCTAACAT